TCTCTCTCTCTCTCTCTCTCTCTCTCTCCTATCTATCTCTCTCTCTCTCTCTCCTATCTCTCTCTCTATCTCTCTCTCTCCTATCTATCTCTATCTCTCTCCTCTCTCTCTCTCTCTCTCTCTCTCTCTCTCTCTCTCTCTCTCTCTATCTATCTATCTATCTCCTATCTCTCTCCTATCTCTCTCTCTTATCTATCTCTCTCTCTCCTATCTATCTATCTCCTATCTCTCTCCTATCTCTCTCTCTCTCTTCCTCCCCCTCTCTCCTCTCTCTCTCCCCTCTCTCTCTCCTCTCTCTCTCTCTCTCTCTCTCTCTCTCTCTCTCTCTCTCTCTCTCTCTCTCTCTAGGGATAGGGAATGCAAAGAATAAAAAGCCGGCAATGATCTAGAAGTATGTGTTTGTAGATTGTCATAACTAAACATTTATAAAGGTCTCTTTGTTGTCATTGGAAAGATAAGGGTAGGGTTCCTCTTTAAGTAATAACCAACCTATTGCCAAATAAAGAGGCCCATAGCAGAGAATTAAAACATGAGCTCTGGTCCATAAGGTGTATAATGGTACAAGGTTTGGAATGAATAGAGTGAATGCATACAGAGCTAAGTTCATGTGGATCTTATACATCTGCCTGGAGTTCACCTTTAACTATACACATTGTTGATGTACTTTGCTGATTTTTAAAGTTGGAACTTGTGTTCTTGCCAAAAACTAGCAGCATCCAAATTCAAAGATGCCATAAAATGTCATGAATTAAAGTAGTATAAAAACCTAAATTAATAAATAGATAGAATAAAAAGAATAAATGATCCCTTTTGGTAAGTAGCATGTTTAAGCTGCATCACCCAGCAGGGGCATCACCAGGCCCATGTCATTACATGTACACATGACGTCATTAGGCAAGCACGTAATTATAACACGTGTACTTTACTGTCGGCGGCCATCTTGATGATGGGCACCAGCAAGGACAGGAGGAGACATTTATTCAGCGGGATGAGGTATGCCGCCGGATACCCCTCCTCTATCGTGTAGCTGTCAGGCTCTCGGTCCAAGAGTGAGTGCCTGACTTTTCAGAGGGGGTGACACCAAAATGACTGTTGACATGATTGGCCGCACCTCCCAAACCCTCCTTGTAAAGTCACTGTCACCCAGGTTCTTGTGCGCCACTTCCCCAAACATGTAGGCAGGGAGGTGCTCATAATGTCACCAGTTACAAATCTCAGGACTACATTTCCCATCATTATCAAGCAGACATGCCCCTGCATTCAAAAATTAGCTCTGCTCCACCTCCAGGGGAAGTGATTGATGGTGGCTCCAGAAGCAGGACATGGGAAGCCACTTGGCATACACTTCCACTGGAGAAGAAGCAGAGGGAGTGTCTTCTGTGTGCCTTTAAGGCTATCGGAGCTGTATTCACTGCCAAATAATTTTTATATTCTGACCTCCAGTTCTAAAATGTACACAGCCCGTTCACACACCACAGTCTTATCACACAGGACAGAAGACCTGATTTTTCTTTGCTGCAGTTACGTAATTCTTACAGGTCTTGTCCTTCTCCAACCTGGTACTGGACATTGAAAGTAAAAGCAGCAGAACGATGAGCCCATCTCCCTGCAACTCTGCTCTCCCCTTCTATTAGCGTGCTTCTTGTCAGCACATGAACTGATTGGGTCTTTATGCTGCTTCTCATTTTCCTAGTCTCAGCTCAGCTTTACAGGAACTGTAGGAGGCTGACACCAAATGAAATTCAGGTACTGCTTGTATTCAAAAAATACATTTAATGATGTATTAATGATTACATAGAATTGTGAATTCTATATCTACTTGAAGTTCGGCTTTAAAGCAAGCCTGCCCTGAGATAAAGATTTATGTTCCATTGCTGACTTCTCTCTCTTAAAATGCAATTTACCGGACTCCATCACTCTGCTCCCCTGGCCTCAATACTTTCTGAGCCATGAACCCGGAACAAGTATGCAGAGCATGTATTCTGACATGACTCTTCTCCATGTGTTGGATGCTTGTTCTGGGTCAGCAGCTCATAAAGTATGGAAGCCAGAGACAGCAAGCCAATTATTGTTTCCAGATGCAGGTCAACCATGGTGGCCTCCATTGATAAGGGTTTCTTTTACAACATTTTAACATGGAACAAGACTTTTATGTAGTACAGAAATTCATTACAAAATTCTTTATAATTGGTCACAAAAACGGTAATTTAAAAAAAATGTAAATCTAGTAAAAACTTTTTAAAATATATTTAGCTATAGTGAGGAAAGCTTAGAACCTCTGTCTGTTTTATTATTACTATCTGAGGCTCCGTTAGAAAGGTTACCTCACTTACTGTCACAATGACAACACTTTACTAGACATGTGCACTGCCAAAAAATTTGTTTAGTTTCGTTTCGTTTTGATTCGGATTTGTGTTATTTAGTTTTTCGGGATTCGGGTGTGAAAGTCAATTCGGATGAAATTCGTTAACGGTAGTTCGTTCGAACATTCGTTTCGTTTTCGTTTCTTATTCGTTTAATTCCACCGTTCGTTCGTTTGCAGCAAAGTGACATCTGAGGGGGGAAAAATGTTTTTCTCCTCTAATTTCACTTTCTTCCAATGAACGAAATGAAAACGAAACGAACGCGCGACCGGACTACTGCTAACGAATTTCGGAAACGGAAATTCGGATTCGTTTGCATACGTTATATCTGTAATTCGGAATTCGGATACATCCGAATGTCCGAATTTCCGAAAATCTGTCCGAATTTCGATTTGGAACGAAACGAATCGCACATGTCTACTAGGCAGGCATAGAAGGAAACCTCCAACAGGCACACAGACAGCAATAAAAAGTTGCCAGGGGTTCTAGCCTTCCTTTGCTTTTCCCAAAAAAAGAGGAAAAAAAGCAATTTTATTGTATCTATTGGACACTTTCTATCACTTCCTGTCTCGTAAAACTGTAGTCACTGTGACAACAAGAGAGGGGGAGTCTCCAAATAAAAAAATAATAAAGACTTGGCTCATTGGCGTGCACAGCCTATTGCATTAGGGTGTGCACACAAAAGCATATATAAAATACATACATACACAGACCGGAGGCCCTTCTCTCCAACTGTCCCTTACCTCTTCCAGCAGGGGTGCCGTCATAAGGCAGGCAGCCTGGCAGGTGGTCATGTGACCACCTGCCCAGCTTCCTGATTGGATGAGAAGCCTGGGAAGCCACACTCCCTCTCAGCTCTTTTGACACCAAGGACTGCGGCTGTTATGTGAGGAATGTAAGTGGTAAGTGCTGCTGTGCTCTCTATAGCTGAGCCATTACAGAGTGATGTTTGTGATCGCTCAGTGACTAAAAGCACAGCGCCCGCTGTTGCAGTTTTGGTGTTGTGATTAGGGTGTGCCCAGGCACACCTGACACACCCTTTGCACATGTCTATGGCTTGGCTGGACATTCATAGTGAAAGCAATGAGGGGAATTTACTAAAACTGGAGCAGACAAAATCTGGAACAGCTGTGCTTGGCCACCGATCAGCTTTTAGCTTTCAGTTTCAAAACTTAACTGAACAAGATAGAAGCTGATTGGTAGCCATACATAGCTGATCCAGTTTTAATAAATTCCCCCCTTTGTCTTTTAATTGGTTTCTTCTGCTTTGGACACTGTGCTTTTTTGACACTGAAAATGAAAGAACTGAATATTAGAACAAGTATTTATTTAAATCCACTTTGCTGTGTGGTATGTGCCCATTTTGTCCATACAGTTGAAGATCTAGTTATTATATCCGGAGTCTTTGCCCAATTTGGAAGTTCTCTTGATGATTTTATCTTTGACATGCTGTAATTTTGCTGCAAAGACTTCTAGACTTGGTAAAATACCTTAACGACTCATAAAGAGAAGAAAGGAAGAATGAGAGGGTCTAGAATAGGGATGCAAGTGATGGGCAGGAAAGCCTCTTTGTGCTATGACATCCTCTCATGCTTCATGAAGTCCAATTTTTGTAGATTTTGTTTTAATCCGATTTTGAAGACAGTCAGCTCTGTGATGTCACATTGAAAGACCTCCTTGTGCTTGGCATGCGTAAACGATATCAGGAATATCTGAATATAGGCTTTGATATATTTACAGCTAGAGGTAGGACAAATAGGCCAACTAACCCTTTTGAGCACAATAAAATGCAACCATTGCCATTCAGATGAAAAATAATAATATGACAGACCACTTTAATTGCAATGTTCAGAAGTAAAATGTGTAGTTGATCAGAGTTCAAAACCAAGGACAAACATCTCAAGGAACATATTAAGACTCCCTTCACATCCAATCCAGCTAACAACTGTACATATTATGAGGTTGATGGTTTCAGTCTCTTTCTCAAAAGGACCAATGCAATTTTTATAGCAAGAGTTTCCAAAATGGATCCTTTTCCAAACCATCCTGGCATGCATAAACCATCTCAGGAAGATCTGAATACAAGCATAGCCATATTTGCAGATAAAAGGTAGGAAGAATAGGCCAACTAACCCTTTTGGAATCCCACTATTACCATTGGGATAAAAAAATATATATTATGAAAGACAATTTTATATGCAACATTCAGAAAATCAAATGTCTATTTTTTGCTATGTAGTAAATAAGAGTTTAAAACCAAGGACACACATTGCAAGGAACATATTGTGACTCCCTTCAAATCAAAGCCAGCTAATAACTGTACATATTGTGTGGTTCTGTGTGGCCCTAAGAAGAATCTTTGATTGCTTCAGTCTCTTTCTCAAAAGGAGCCATGCAAATTTTAGAGCAAGAGTTACCAAAATTGAACCTTCCCGAAACATCCACCAGCCCCTCCAAAAAGTCTTTCTTAAATGATGCAGACGAGAAGTAGAATATGAGGGGATCCAACGATGCGTTAAAGGTACTCAAGAGCAGAGCGTAGGCTCTCCATTGTGGACTCTTGCCTTGGAAAAACCCCACAACATGTGATAGATTATAGGGCATGAAACAAAGGATGAAATTTATTAGGGTGACCACCACTAGGCAGATGGCCCTCGTTTTCCTCTTTCTCTCCAGATGAGCCTGAGACAGGATGATCTTGATGAAGTTGACATAACAGAAGACAGTGATCACAAACGGGATGAAGAAAAGAAGGACGCTAATTTCAAGCCTTACCGGGAGTAGAACTTTGAGCTGTGGTGTAGAAAACCTACTGTAACACCTGGTAATGTTTTGTTCTGTCATATTACCGGGCACAATGTACTCCAAGATGTAGATAACACTGCAGTGAGCCGTCACAATGCACCAGATGAAGATGCATACAATGAACGAGTAGACCGATCTCCGGAGAAACTTGTATTTGATAGGAAAGGCGATAGCAAAATACCTCTCCACGCTGATGGCCATGAGGAAGAGAGAGGTGATGTAAATGCTGCTGAAGAACGTAAAAGCTGACAAAGGACAAAAAATGTACGGCATATTCCACTCCATGCCAGAGGCCGCTTCCAACATGCGGAAGGGGAGGAACATCAAGAGAAGCAAATCGGAAATGGTCAAGTTGACCAGCAGGATGTCCACTGGTGTGACACCGTGCTTAAACCTTTTAATAAGTGTACACAGGGCCGCTATGTTCAGGGGAAGCCCTGTTACAAATGTGAAGATGTAGACGAACAAAAAGAGGGAATCCGATCCTGGAAAAACCATGATGGTTCACTTGGAATTTAATACTGGTGGTTTTGATTTTTGCCGAGTCCTTTGTTGATTTGCTTTTGTGCTGGATGCCTTTTGGGTATACTGGAAAAAAAGAAAATAATCAGGTCACTGATAGCAGCTGAGACAAATAGTTTGATAATAAAGCCGCCGCTGCAAAGTAGACCTTTAGATACTCACTTCTCCTGCCGAATGCTTCTCCGGTCTCTGCAGTAGAGAAAAGAAATTGCCTGCTGAAGAATCTTCAGAAACACTTTGGTCTTTGTTATCACTTCTATGTATTTATGTGACCACGTATGTTGCTATTTCCTTCCTTCCCTAATTTTAGACACTAATAACGAGATTGGTGTAAATGTAACAGCAATGAGGTCACCATGATCTCACTTTGCATCATAAATGATCTGTTCAAGGTGATAAGTTCAAATCTCTTGTAGCCACCTTGCCCTAAGTGACGTGACTTCTTAAATTTAGTTCTACTGGACTGTATCCAGTCTAGAACATTTGATAGCCTGTGCTTATTTGATTTCTCCTAAGCACTCTGTTATTAGTTGCATCTGCCTGCTGCTGGGTGTGACTTTACAACCGAGCAGAGCAGAGCAACCAATAATGTGATGTGATGAATATCTGTGTCTCCGTAGCCAATCACTAGGAGGTTTATGGACAGTGGTGTGTGCTGGGGGAGGACATAAATATTTGCGGTTGACCTTGTGAGTGTCTCCTCCCTCCCCCCAGGATTCTGATGTGCGAGTTCTGATGTGCTATCTGACCAGGCCTGCAGCCTGTAGGTGGTCAGGAAAGGAGACCCAGCTGGGGGTCTGCAATTGTCCAGCCAGTTAAGGAGGAAGCTGTGCCTGGGATGGAGAACCAGGAAGGAACTTCATCTGTTGGAGGTGCCACAAAAGCCAGGAGTGGACTTAGACCTAAAAATAAGTCTGGTGTCTAGGGAGTTTTGTGCTACGTCAGCTAACCAGCTAAATTTCTACAATACAGTTATAACTAGGGATGCACCGATACCACTTTTTTAAGACCGAGTACGAGTACCGATACTTTTGATCAAGTACTCACAGATACCAATTACCGATACTTTTTCTTAAAGGGACAGGTCACATTTTTTCAAAAGCAATACAAACTAATGCTTTAAGGTCACTTTCTTAATATTATGATTCATGAGATGACGAGGGAGCATGACGCCGGCTTACCGGCCAATCAGAATGCCAGGCGCGGCGTCATTACACGGCGCCCGGCTTCTGGATTTGCTAGCTTCCTGACCAATCGGCAAGTGACGAGAGAGCATGGAGCCGTTTCCTGGCCAATCAGGAAACCGGGCAGCGTGTAATGATACGCTGCCCGGCTTCCTGATACAGGAAATACTCGTGCTAGGTATCGGAGCATTTGGGCGAGTACGAGTACTCACCCAAATACTCGGTATCGGCACCGATACTAGTATCGGCATCGGTGCATCCCTAGTTATAACACATACACATGTTGTCTATCCCAATTTCATATAAACTACAGTACATATCAATTATTACATATAAAAGTTCATGAATATATAAAGTGCTTCAAATTTCAAACATGTTCCATATTCAAGTGACTCCCGAATACAACATGCTCAAAGTTCGGTCTTATATTCCTAAGGAAACGTGCCAAATAAAGGCAAACCAGTTCCATAAATATCACTAGTGCTGGCTACTTCCCACCACACTCACCAGAGTGAATAGACCATATGCAAAAATGGTTAAAATAACTTCATGTCATCACAACCACTTGAGAGCGTCACTTTGAATGAGAGGCATGGATTTGAAGTGGTAAATGTGATTACTTACATCTGCATGCCCTATACACACATTTTCCTTCACATGCAGATGGCAGGGAAGGCAGTGTTGGTTTTACATTGTTTAACATTTTTATTTATTTTAGTATTTTTTTACTTCTTTGTCACTTCCTACATTTTTTTTCATTTAACTTTATTGCTTTATTGCACACAGGGGAAAACAAGCCCCCATGAGATAGCATTTGAAGGTGACAGATTCTCTTTATGGAGACATCAGGGGTTTATGTCTCTCCTGGTCTCCAGTTCAGAGGATTGAGCACAGCATTGTGCCCGATTCCCTGTGTAACTAGCACTTTAGCCGAAATTGTAACAGCTGTGAGCAGATCACTTCCTGACTCACTGATCACAGAACAGATTCCCAAGTCTGCCCTCGCTCTCCATCCTGACACTAATTGCTGTGATTCCAGGTCCCCCAAAGGAGTGGGGGACCTCGGAAACCATGGCAAATAGGAGTGGAGGGGCACAACCTATACAGGCTAGTACAAGTGATCTGAGCAGCTGTACAGCCACCCAAACCATTTATACAAAATAACAATTGCCTGCTGAAAAAAAACCAATACCATCAGAAGCAGCCATGATCTTGGTATAACTACTTCAGGACCAGAATGTATATATGTTCGGCGGACCAGAAGTAGCTAAAGTCACCAGAACATACGATACTAGACATGTGCGATTCGTTTCGTTCCGAATCGAAATTCGGACGAATTTTCGGAAATTCGGACATTCGGATGTATCCGAATTCCGAATTACAGATATAACGAATGCAAACTAATCCGAATTTCCGTTTACGAAATTCGGTAGCGGTCGTTCGTTCGAACGTTCGTTTTCGTTTCTTATTCGTTTCGTTCGTTAGAACAAAGTGACATTAGAGGAGAAAAAAAAATTTTCCCCCTCAAATGTCACTTTGCTACCGAATTTCGTCCGAATCCGAATTCCGAATCCTAATTGACTTTCACACCCGAATCCCGAAAAACGAAATAACACAAATCCGAATTTAAATCGAAACGAACAAATTTTTTGGCAGTGCACATGTCTATAGGATACGCTTCATGAGAAGTAAATTATGCAACTGGTGCTGTATTCTACCAAACCCTTTATTTTCTAGACATCAACTTCATACCCAGTGACATCATCATTGGGTCTCGGTGCTTCTTTATGCAATACAGGCAGATTACGGCTGGTGGGAGGGAGAGGCAGGGTGCTGTACATAGCTTGCTGCAACAGGAGGCTGTGATAACACCCATGTGTAATGCTTAGCCTCCATGATTAAAAGAACTGAAATCCAATGGATGGAAGTGATGGACCAGGGACAGTCAGGCTAGGGAGGAATGTGCTAGATGATGCAGAATGTGCCCCAGCCAGGAAATGAGGTGGGCTCTGTCTGATTTGCTGCAGCTTCTAATGCACATTATGAGAAGTTCACAGTGTGCAGGGAAATCAGAGGAAGGATCTCATTCCAGGAGAGGAGCCGGTACAACTGTGCAAGTCTCAAGACAGAGTTCAGCTTTAAAGGAGAACTATGGGGTCAGGGCTTTTCCCCATAGTTCTCCCTAGAGTAGCGGAGGACACAAACTAGCGTCCTGCCGTCACCCTAGGCTCAGTATACTGCAAGCTACAGCTCGCAGTATACTGAGATGCCGCAGCCGGAGCGGGTCCCGACATCGATGTTGAGATCCGCCCAGCTGCGTGAGTGACAGCTGGCTCTGCCTATCTAGAGGCAGAGCCAGCTGTACCCTCCCCTGTCCGTTCCGCCAGTCAGCGCTGGCGGAGCGGGGAGAGGGGAATACAGTCCCTCCCCTGTCACGGCTCTGTGCCGTGACAGGATTGAGAGGTGAGCGAACGCCGGTATGTGTTCACTCACCTCCCGATCTACTGAGCCGACCTGTGACAGTCTCATTGTCACAGGTCGGCTAGAACTATGAGGATGAGTGAAAAGCACCTGCCTCATAGTTCTCCTTTAATGTAACTTTCTACAGAAATGTAATTACTGTACACAGTGATGTGTATGGTTTTACCTTCCTGTAGATCTAACACTTCTCTCAGATCTTGTTTATCTTTTACTTATCACCCTTTTCATACGATGACATCTATTTCTCTGGAATTACATCTCTTATTTCTTCAACTTCCCTTTTTAGTTCACTTCCTTTTTCAGTTTACATCAACATCACGTAGATAACATACCAGTGAGCGCAGTCTCTACCGTCTGCCCCGGGAGGAAGCATGAGGCTTTTCATCTTGCTGTATGTTTGCTTTCAAGGTAAGTAGGAATATAAGATTCTTCTTCATATTATTATCATTATTGTTATTATTAATTGTATTTATATTCTTTAGTATAGTTTTGTACAGTAAAGGAAGTCAGAGAAGGTCCCATGAAAAGTGTTGTGTAGTCGAGGTGCCGACAACAACAGCTTCCCCAAAACAGAATGTTATGAAATGTTTGAAAGTCATTATAACAACGAGTCTAACAAACAAATGTGGTTTTATACCATTTCACAGCGTTTCATAGCAAGTCTAGCCGATTCCCCAGAAAAAGTGCGTCAACCTTTCAGGGAAATTCAGGGTACGGGAATGTGGGGTTGGGGTTGTGAAGTGTTAACACAATATTTTTCGACATTTTATTGAACTTTTAAGACATTGCAGAAAAAAAAGAACCAAACCATATACAATAATGAAGCTGTTATACCACTGGCCCAGTTTGTACAATGTTTTTGTTTTTTTTTGCGTTATTTGATTTCTAAGAGTAAACTTTTGTATCATTTGTAGATCTGTTGTGGCTGCTACTTCCACCGGTACATTTAGTCCTATTACTGCTGGATTAAAAAAAAATCTAATGTTGTAGCCAAAAATAGCTGGAAACACATTGATTTCAAGTTGAAATGAATCAGATTGGGGTGAAGTTGTTGTATTTAAGACAAGCTATAGGTCAAAGTAAAAAAAAAACAATTATACATACAAAATACGGTGATGACAGAATACGGTTGTTGCTGACACTGTCCATACAAAATCGTATTGTTCTTTAACACCACATACAGCTTGAAGGTTGACCCTTTTATACTATATTCAGGGCATAACATGAAACATGGTCACATTACCACCACCCCCAATACCCTCCACCCCTTTACTGCACCCCCACTTAGCTGAATTTCAGGGTTCTCCCCAC